GAACTGGGAGGCGAGGCGGGCGGCAATAGAGAGCCAAGCCGTGGTTGACGAGTGGTGCCCCACTGGGAAGGAGCGGGAGGCGCTGGAGAAAAGGTGGAGGACGAATATTGACCAGGCACTGAAGGACGAGGAGGAACTTCAGCGGCAGCTGTTGGAGTTGAGGGAGCGTCATGGACAGCGCTTGTCCAGTGAGGTGGCGCGGGTGGAGGCCACCGTGAGGGAGCAGCACCAGCGGGAGGAGAAGCAGATGGAGGGAGAGAGCCTTGCCTCACTGAAGAGGTTAGAGGACGAAGTTTCTGCAGAGTTTCTGAAGAAAAAGGCCGAGTTGCAGCAAAAGTCTCTGGCAGACGTGCAGCGGCTGAAGGAGGCTGCGGAGAAGCATCACCGGACGGAAGTGGCGGCGATGCGGGAGAACCATGCGGATCGAGAGAAGAAAGTCACGGAGTGTGGAAAAAAAATTGCTTCGATCCGCGCGAAGGAACGGGAGGCTGTTGCCGCCATTGAACTGAAATCAAAAAACGAGCAGGCGGCGTTTCGGGCATCGATGGAGGCAAAACTCGGCCGCATGCGCGAAGAGATGTTGTGTGAGGTTGAGGGTGCTTTTCCAGTTACGCTGGGCAATGCATACACGCCGCCGGTGGATGATGCCCTGGACGCAGTGCGTCAACGTTGGCAAGTGGAGGAGCGAAAATGCATGCATACTCTTGAGGAGGAACGACGGAAGAAACTTAGCTCGATAGAGCGACCTCAGTCATTGTCTTCTTCTTCCTCAAAGACATCATCGACTTCTTCTCTTCCCACTACAGCTTCTTCTACCACAGTTTGTGCGGGCGAAGCTGGTGAGGAGCTCCGCGCCGCAAATGACGTGGTGTTGGCGGAGAAGGAAAAATCTCTGCAGGAGACGGAGAAACTTCTTCGCGCAATGCTCGAGGAAGAATTGCTGCACAAGGATGCTCCAGCGGAGGTGCAGATTGCGGAGGCATTGAAGCATGATCTCAATATATTTGTGCGATCAACGGAGTTGTGTCGGCAGCTTGAGAGAGAGGACATTGAGCGAAGAGGACAGGCGGCACTAGCAGAGCACAAAAGGGCGAGGGAACTCTACGAAAAGAAAGTGGTAGAGCAACGGGCAAAGATGGAGGCGAAGTCCAGGGCAGTGATGGAGGAGATGATGCGGGAGGTGGAGCAGAGGGAGGTTGAGAATGCGCTGCAGGCTATGACAATGGAGCGGGAGGTTGCAGAAAGGAAACTTCAAAAGCGCTACGAGGATGAACGTCGTCTGCTTCTTGCCGAGGTTGATCAAGAGGCTTCGGCGTACGAGCGGAAGCAGCGGGGTGACATTGTTGCACAAGAGGAAGCGAGGCTGAAGCAGAGGGAGGCTAAAATGCACGCCGCGGAGGCGACAGAGGCGCCGGCGGAGGTGAGGCAGTCGGGTCAGCAGCCGGCATCAGCACCAACCACAAGTACGCTGGGGGTTCCGTTGGGATTTTTGCATCAGCGTTTGGAGTTTGTAGAAAAGACTTACGCCGAGAAGGAGGAAAAATTACAGGCGGAATTGAATTCCATCCATGCAGACATGAGGAGACTGAGGGGCACGTGCACTCCACAAGGGCTGAGACCACCGCCAGGGCAGGCGGACGGCAATTCGATGCCGGATGTTTGCTTTACACCCGCCTTGGCGTTTAACAAGAAGGAAACAAAACATTCCTCACTCTTTGCCTCCGAGGCACTGCGTTTCTTGAGTGAACAGCAGAGAGAGTTGAGCGCGCGTCGAGGGGCTCTTTCCGCAGCCCGTGAAGAGTGGAAAAACACTTTTTTGAATGCTAGCACCTGCGCGCGTTCTTTTCTTCCCTCAGGGAAGCCTTTTCCTAAGCTCACAGAAGGAGATGCTGTGAACTCGAAGCTTCTTACACTCGTTGGCGTCTTGAGCGAGCGCCTCGAAGCTCTCACTGGCTGCATTGCAAAAATACAGACCACAACGGGGAGTGCAACGCCGCAGCGACATGAAGAGCAGCTCCGTCCCCGTTCTGACCGCCTTCATGCACGTGAAAAGATTGCGGCCAACAAGACCCATACAGGGAGCAACCAGAGGAAGGGAAGGATTCCACGTGAGCCACACTCTCACGGAAGCCCGGCAAGGCAACAAGACGCAGTTGGCCTATTGCAGAAATGGAGTCATGTTCTTCTTGAATTTGCGACCCCTTCGTTAGATCAGGATGAGCTCACTACCTCCATCCAACGCTTCGTGGTGGACCAATGACACCGAGCCCAAGTAGGGAAAATATAATTGGTGCGGGGGGCAATTGTAATGCCATAATGCGTTGTTGCCAACGTGGTGATCTTTGCTTCATTTCCTTTTTCCTTATTTTTTCTGTGTCTGTGTGCGTGCGTCTGTGTATGACAGATGGTTTTGCGTGAGGGAACGAGGAGAGGGATCTGAGCGACATGTGTGGGTGGGTGGGGGGCCGACACACGAGGGGAGGATGAGGCTGGAAGGAGGAACCTCAACATGAATCACATGAGATCTTTCCCTTACTTTTTTTTTTTTTTTGCGTGTCTGCTTTCTTTTCTTTTTGGAGTGTTTTACTGGGAATGTTGGAGGCGAGGGGAGCCGTCGCGAAGGAGGGCGACACCGTCCTTCTCGTCCGCGGTCATCTCAACCTTACGCCGCTCATGCTTCGGCCCGGGGATCTGTTGCACTGCAAGGAGGGGAAATTCCGACACGATGACATCATTGGCCGACCTCTTGGGACTTGGGTCACGGGGCAGAGCAACATCAAGGGCGACACCTCGAGACCTCCCCGTCTTCTCGTTCTGCAAAATAGCGCGGACTTGTGGACGCAGGCGGTGCCCCACCGCACACAGATTATTTACGACACTGACATTGCCGTTATTATCTTCAACTTGCGGCTCGGCCCGGGGTGTCGCGTCGCCGAGGCGGGCACCGGAAGTGGATCGCTGACGCATTCCATCGCCAGGACAGTCGCTCCCAATGGCACGGTTTACACTTTTGATTTC